CCGCTTTTCAGCAGCAATAGCCAGTAACCCTTTCACAAACCTCAGCTTGCTAATTCAGGAACTCCTCTTCCTTCCCTCCTGCTTCAGTATCTCAATCCAGTTCTCAACAAGGATTAAAGAGAAGAGAGAGTGCATTAGTAAGGTTTTAGACACTAAGGCTCTGTTAACTAACTGCATTCCCTACAGTAACTCATGGCAATATTAGCACAAATATTTCAAAACTCAACTGCATATAATAAATCAACACAACATATCTTGTAGAGATTTCTAGAGTTTTTAGAAAAACTGAAGAACTTCTTTCTGTTGCACCCTTTTCCCTTTTTTCTTCCTTTTTTTTTTTTTTTCATAGAAAAATGGGAGGAAAGAGGGAGAAAGGCAAAGGAAAGTTTAAAACGTGTATTAGGAAAATCAGGATTTTTCATTATGGATGGTTGAAGATGAAATTTAGGAAACTTAGAAGGAAAATATGAAAAAGAAAAGTCAAATTTCTTTTATTTTTAAATCAGCTTAAAAATAGTGCTTTTCCCCACTCTCAGAGAGCTGGTTCACTGAAGAACTTAGAAACATTTTGCCTTTGACCAACGTGGTTTGCACGCTGAGCTCAACAGTCCAAACCAGAGATTGCCTTAGGTTGATGTCATCTCAACTCACACGCACACGATTGCTCTCTTTCAGTCCACCAAATAATACCTGTTGTGGTGTTCTCTCCGTGGCATCACTGTAAAATATGCTTCTTTAAACACATTAATAAATAAATGGGTTTGCTGAACAAGCTCTGTTTGCTTTATTCACCCCAACTGGGGTCAAATCCCTAATGATTGAAAATAGCTAGAAAGCAGGAGTGAGAAGGTCTCTTCTAAAGTAATCTGCCCACCCACCTCCATCCAGGAGCCAAATGTACCCGTATGGGTCACAGCACAGAAGTGTTGCTCTGGATTCCACACTTATCCGTGTTCCACACTTTGACACTTCTAATACTGGAGAAATAGTTGCTAGGTGTACAGACAGACAGACTGATCCTTTTTCAGTCTTTGCATAGAAAAGATCTTCATTCATACTCTTGAACCATTGGACAGACCTACTCAAAAATTGCAGGAGAGTTGCTAGGCAGTTTACTGAGCTTTGGGATAATTCTACCTAAACAACAGGGAATGAAGGGTAGGGGCAGTGCATTTACAGCTTGCAGTCACACTTTTGGAATTGTTTCATTTCCATCTCATTTGCCAAGATTTAGGAGCTGTGACAGACAAATTGCACCAAACACAGGTTGGCTGTATTATGGTCTTATCCTCTCTGTATAAAGCAGGATTTTTCATCAGCTACAGTCAAGCTACATGTATGCACACCTATTCCTCAAACAACGATTTACTACCTTTCCACTCCTGTGGAGGTGGAGGCAATGTATACACTTCTTAGTTCATGTTTATGTTAAAACCATTTCTCACTCAGAAGAAATCTTAGCTTTGATGAAAGGAAATGTAGTAGGATGTTGAAACTCTGTCTGAAAACAACAGAAGAAATATTTTACACATATTTACTCACAGGTTTTATTATGTCAATAGTTTTCATAGAATGAGATGTTAGGGAAAACATTAAAAAAAAAAAACAAAACCTCTAAGTAAATTACAGAAATACCATCTCTGCATAATCAGTCACCACAAATAAATCACTTCAATGGTATTTATAAAGATAATAACATATCATACCCAACTGAATGCCAAACCGTGGCACAGATGGAGCTGCTTACCAGAATCTCCAGAATTTTAAAAGAGCAGTACCGTCTTTCTAAGTGAAAAGAAAAAAGTGACAATCAGGTAGATTATATGGCTATTTACAGCACAAGCAAAATCAGTTGGTTAGAACCTCATTTGCCATTCCTTTACCATTCAGCCCTGCTGAAGGCCGTGTGAAATCTAGGCTAAGATGCATGATACAGCATGTGCAGCTTTCCAGAAAGGAAGTAATTTTTTCCAGACTATCAAAGTCAAATCACAAAAGTAAGATCTTTATATGCAAATGCTTTAAATTTCTGATTGTTAGTAAACAATTCCTGTGAGAGAGATCTGCAGCACCAGCCTAAGTGCAGAGAGCAATGCAGAAGGCTCTGTAAGTCTATGAGAACTGCATGGGATTGAGCACAACTTTTGCTGAGGGATGAGTCCTGGGGGCACAGAGCAGCCTGGCTTCTCCAAGTCCCTTTTCACCTTTTTGCCTTTTTTCTTTGACTTCACTTTTCTCCTACATCTTCCTTCTAGCTTTCCCCTATTGCTTGTAGTTGCCATTTTAGGAACTCAAAATCCAAGGCAACGATATCTGGGATCGCTCTTGGTTTTTTTTCAGTTAGGGAGCTATCAAACTTGGAGCCCTTTGCCAGAAAGCACTGCCTCCCACTCTAAGTTATATCCTTGAAAATGAACTTGTGAGACGCCGAGAAAATGACTGTGTGATAAATAACCTAAGGTACCTTCTGGCAGTGCTTTGGATCATTTGAAGGCTAGCTATGAAGCTCACTTCTGTTCTTGTTCTCTGCAGGGAGTCACTGCAACAAGGAGAGTAAGATGGCTGATGTTGCTTTTAACTGATTAAATAAAGCAAAGTAGCTCAATACCACACTGAAAAAGTGCTCTGAGTACAAGTCCAGTCTTGTACTGAAGTCTTGGAAATCTCATTTTCCTTCATTTAATTGACAAAATCTGTAGATCATACAAGGAAGACAGTCCCTGCCAAAAATCAAACATCGCTAGTTTTTAATAATACAATGGGAATAACCCCTTAGAACATATGCAATTATGGCAATGAGTCATTCTGATGGCATCACATAACCACATTCACTGGGATTTTGACAAGGAAGAGGCCACAGAAAATTCCAAATGCTTTCAATTCAGCAGTGGTCAGGCTGGTCTTGTCAATGGAAATGAGGGTGTTTGGCAGATCCGCTGGGCCTGGTGCACATTGCTGAGCCCCCTCTCCCACACAGTACGTGGTATGGACTACATCTCACTGTCAATAACTTAAAAAGAAGGAAAAAAAGTTAAAAATTTGAAATGAGAGTACGCATCAATGGTAAATGAAAAGCTGGTGAATCACACAGCAACGTAAAATTAGTTGTAAAATAAACTAATCTGACCCATATGTTAGCTGATAAGCAAGTCCAACAACCACAGCTCCAGAGATGCTGCAAGTTAAATGCTAGCAGTTAGCCTCAGTAATGTAAGTTTAGTCTGGAAAAACTTGAGAGAGAGGTGGGTTCAGCTGAAAAAAATGAATTTCTTCCAATTTGAATACAATTCCCATATGTTATCAGCATCGTGTTTCCTTATGACAGAAAACATGGGGCCCACTCTGGCTTGGATGACAGGGCTCACCATAAGTGAGGTTGGAGAAAAAGCTGCTTTTGCCAAAGCTTTCAAAGTGGAAATTTTCTGATTAACTCAGATGCATTACCAATAAAAGTCCTCCATGACATAACCTAATGTCTAACGCTATTACTATTCTTTTAAAGAAAGAGACAGCAATTTTCTGGATGCATTCCAAGATATTTTGCAAACAATAAAAGGAGTGTTTTCTTAAGGAGAAGGAAGAAAGAGTGGGGAAGAACAGGGCAAGTATTACTCAACTATTTAGTCTAAAAATTTGAAAATCAAAAGGATTTTCTGACAGATTAATATCAACTTTAATAGAAAACACACTTGTCCCGAGAAAACTCTTCTACATAAGCCTCGAGTCTGATAGTTTAAACAATTATCTACAATTTGGAATTAATTTTTTTATGCCCACATCACTGTGTTTTTTACAGGCCTGAGGCACAGATAATTCCATTAAGAGAAAAAAAAGGCTTAAGCAAAACAGACTGAAAATTCAAGACTGCCATCTCACAAAGCAGCTCACAAGTCTGACTAATTAGGAATACTTTGTACAGAAGGGGACCGTGCGCTACCTAAAAGCAAAATGCTGAAAATCATTAAAAGAACACAATCTCAGAAGCTCTGTTATTGTTCTGGATTTAGCAGAGCATTAGCAGAACTGCGAGGAAATTGAACTAGCCATGAATTCTCTGCCACTAATAACTATTTAGGGACGCTGGGACAGACCTTCACTTTGGCAAACGACTCCCCAGCACGCAGAGCTGCCTGCTCCCAGCCCAACCTCTGCGCTGAATTAACACCATTTCAGCAGGGTTTGGGTAATTCCTCCTAGGTGTGGATCTTTCCAATTTCGAGTGAAATCTGGCTGAACGTAGCATAGTCTTCAGGACTATAATTTCCCTAAAATTCGATTTAGACTATTGCAAGGTCCGTGCAATTCTTTACGTGCATGTAAATGAGTGTGTTGTCATTTGTAATTTTGACCAGACGGTGCCAGGAGCCCGGGACAAACAACTTTGTGCCTGTAAACACCCCGGTGCACCCCGCTGCCTGCAGCTGGCTCCCCAGCACCCCCCCCAGCATCCCCGCATCAGCAGACCGCTTTGCTGACCGCATGCATTCATCTGCAAATGGAAATAAGTCCTAATGCCAAGCTCCCAAATGATTCTTATTATGTTTCTGTGAACAAACAACGTTTCAAAAACAATGAGGGCTCCCGTGCCAGCACTCTCGTTGTTACAGCCCTTTGAAACGCCTGCAGTCTGCTCACTGCCCAGGGTGGACAGCCTGGAACTGGGCAAAAGTCAGGGGAAAGCTTATGGAGGACCGGAGGCCGCGCCCCCGGGCACAGAGCGGGACCCGGCGGGCACCAGGCGGGCAAGACCGGGCGGTGGGTGCGGGCAAAAGCCCCGGAGGAAACGGCGCCCCCAGGCCTCGCCCGCGGAAGTGTAACGTTGGGGAGAGGTGGTTAACGATGGGTAGCAGTGGGTAACGGTGATAGGGCCAGGCCCTGCGGCGGCGAGGCCCACGCGTTGCCACGGGAACCGGACGTGAGAGGTGGTGCCGAGCGGCTGCCATAGCAACCTGGGGGGCGCCTGCGCAGCCCGGAAGTGGACCCGCCGGAAGTACGTCATCACGCCGTCCCCACGCCGGAAGTACACGTGCTGCTGCTTCCGGCTTGAAGCCGCGCGTGTGGTGGAGCGGTGTCTCCGTTTGGTCCGGTCCCGGCGGCACCATGGTGAAGCCACGCTATAAAGGCCGCAGCACCATCAACCCGTCCCGCGCCAGCACCAATCCCGGTACGTGCGGAGTTGCGATCTTAAACGTGTCGTATCCCATCGTAACGGGCCAGGCCGAGCTGTGCCGGTCGGGTCTAACAGTGCTTTCTCTCCTCAGATCGCGTGGCTGGCGCGGGCGGGAACAACATGCGGGACCGAGCCACCATCCGCCGCCTCAACATGTACCGGCAGAAGGAGCGGAGGTGAGCGCGGCCGTGCCCCGTGCTGTGGAGTGGAGTGCGGCTGGCTGTGTGCTGTGGTCGGGAGCCACGCACGGGGCGGCTGCTCGGGCTTCGTGTGGGGGCAGTGTCTGCGTACTGGGCTGTTTTGTGGAATGGTGTGAACTGGAAAACTTGATCCTGATCTCTAATCGATCTGTGTCAGGAAATGTAGCTGAAAAGCGTGATACAGAACAGCTGATGTGATTCCATTCACGGAATCACAGAATAGCCGGGATTGTAAGGGACCACAAGGATGATGAAGCTCCAACCCCTCTGCCCCATGCAGGGTCACCAACCTCCACATTTCACACCAGCCCAGGCTGCCCAGGGCCCCATCCAATCTGGCCTTGAACACCTCCAGGGATGGACAGGGCATCCACAGCCTCTCTGGGCAGCTGTTCCAGCACCTCACCGCTCTCTCTGTAAAGAACTTCCCCCTGACATCCAACCTCAATCTCCCCTTCCTCAACTTTAAACCATTTCCCCTTGTCCTGCTGTTATCTACCCTTTCAAGGAGTTGATGATCCCCATTGGGATGTCACAAATCCCAAAATGCTCAGAATTCTTTCATGTTCAACCAAAGCACACCTCAGAATGTCTGAAGAGCCTGACATCTGTATGGCTGAGCCATCTCACTTCCACGTGTGAACCTACAGCTGTGGCACAGTTCCTACCTTGTAAATATTCACCCCTGCTGTGGTGTGGGTGCTGTGGGAGTTCTGAGGTTGCTGGTTAAAAGCAGCAGTTCTGTTTTGCCAGCTGTTGATTTGTTTTGAGATATGGCTGGGGGATACATGATATGAAAAATTACTAAGTTTAACCCAGGTCTCAAGGTGAAAGTGTGTCCTCTGGCTTGTGTTCAGCATAGGCTGATGGGTAGAAGTGATTGCAAAAGTTCCATGTGAGCATATGAAAGAAAAGAGAGCAATATGTTCAGAAATCATGCTTTGTATGCCTTGCACCCCAATAACATATTTGTATGCAGTCTTAAAGAGTTCAGTCAAGCTGGAGTGAGAATTGAGAGTTTTGGGGTGTGCACACACATTACTGTAGTGTGCGTATGTGTGTTTGTATTTGCATGCTAACTTTTATTAGTTATCTTGAAGTACTTAGCTTGTCCCCAGCCACCTCTTATAAATAAGTAGAGTTCAAAACATGAAGATGCTTAGTGAGGTGTTTTTCAGAGACGTTTCTCTGTGATTTGACACAGCAAACAGAAAAAATATCAGCCTAGGATCATCACAGGGCAGCGTATGCCAGCAGGTGTGATAGCTCATCCAACTAACAGTGCTGTGCTGCTGTTTATGAGGGTGGATAGTGATAGGACAGGGGGAATGATCTTAAACTGAGACAGGGGAGGTTTGGGTTGGATATTAGGAAGAAGTTTTTCACACAGAGGGTGGTGAGGCACTGGAACAGGTTGCCCAAGGAGGCTGTGGATGCCCCATCCCTGGAGGCATTCAAGGCCAGGCTGGATGTGGCTCTGGGCAGCCTGGTCTGCTGGTTGGTGACCCTGCACATAGCAGGGGGTTGGAACTGGATGAGCATTGTGCTCCTTTGCAACCCAGGCCATTCAATGATTCTATGATCTTTGTGCAAGCATAGGCTTGGATTGGCACTGAGGGATTGAAAAATGGCTTTAGTGAATAAAAGTGCTACAGAGGTGTATGGCTTCATTGTGTATTTACATGCATTTTCATTTTTCACTTAGAAACAAACGTGGCAAAGTGATTAAACCTCTGCAGTATCAGTCAACAGTGGCACCAGGCACAGTTGCAAGAGTGGAACCAAATATTAAATGGTTTGGTGAGTTTTCTCAGCTTTCAGTTCAGCAGGCTTGGAATTGGTTGAACTTTGTGGGGTTTTTTTAGTGTGTGCTTAGTTCAGAATTGTGGTTTCAGTGTTGTGTGGGACAGACCTGGAAATGAAGGTGAAATACCCCTTGTTGGATATTTGCTTTTCATGCACTGCTGTTAAGTATATGTTGTAACCTACATATCCTAAGTGTTCTAGGGATACTTTTAAAAGTTCCTTTAAGTGATGGAAAGGGGGTGGATTGTATGTGCCAATCTTGAATGTTTTTTTTTCAAGTGAAATCTTCTATTTCTTACTACTGGTATTTTTTATTCCAGCTGAAGTATTTGTATTTTCATAGTGTACTCTGATTCTCTGAAGCAGTTAAAGATGGGGAATGGTGTAGATGCAGTAATTTATTTTCATGTGCAGGGAATACTCGTGTGATCAAGCAATCATCCCTACAAAAATTTCAAGAGGAAATGGAAACTGTCATGAAAGATCCATACAGAGTGGTCATGAAGCAAAGCAAGTTACCAATGTCCCTTTTCCACGATCGGATTAAACCTCACGTGAGTATCATTCATCTGCACTGGGTTAAGGCTGTCTTATGTGCACAGAGGTATCATGAATATTATTTATCAGTGGGAAATTTGCTACTTTTGTAGAAGCATTGGAGGAGGAATTGGGGCAAATGTCTTGGGGTGGGATATTTCTGAGGACACAACGCTGTAGATGCTGAAGACAAAGAAGTAGTGTGTTATTTCCCTGTGGTTTGTGAGGTCTGTGTTATAGAATTCACGTTTTCTCACAGGAAATCTACTTCAGAGCACTCTAGATTTGAATATGGCATTGAAAATGACTGTCTCAGCTTGCCACCTTATATTCTAATGCTTCTAATGGTTGATCTGACAAACAGATCTTTTTTGAGGAAGCATCGTTCTGCTAGTGTGTGCCCTCTCATGCAGTGAATCTATCTGAACTCAAGTGTTTGCTATTTATCTTGAATCAGAAGTTCTGCACGCTTTCTTCATTTCAAGGAGAATTGAGTTTCAAGCACGTAAACCTTTAGTTATTACCAGACTGCTCTGAAATATTATTTTGGATTATTGCTAGATACTTTTTCACATGGAAAGTTGCCAGGTTTGTGTCATAAAAATGTTACCTAAGTGAAGGGAAAAGTTACTGTAAACTAAAATAAGTGTTACAAAAATAAATTACTTCTTTCAGCTATGAATTGCGTGCCATTCCAGGAAAAGTTGGCATTCATTACAGGCTTCAAATTCTACAGTTTTGACTGTAATTATCCCTGACAAAAATCTGTGAATTTGGCAAGATTTACGCACTTGTTAGAAAAATAAGAAATGATCAAAGATAGCAGCTAAATTTTCATCACTGTAGCCTTAATTACTTTTGACATCATTTATGCAGAAAGAACTGAAGCATAATTCTTTGGCAAGTGCAGCCTGTTTTGGTGCTTGTTAAATATCCACGTTTATGCTTCTCAAGATTAAACTGCAGAACTCAAACATTGTTAGGAAAGTGCCTTTAACTCTTGTTAGAGGTTACAGAGTTGCATTGCACTGAGGTCTTTGTAGGCTGTGTTTCACGAGAGATGGAAAACTAGAGATTGTGGGTGTGTTTTCTTTTTTTTTTTTTTTTTTAACAACCCATCTTTCCGTAGACTTCCAGAGTTCACATTCTTGACACAGAAACATTTGAAACAACATTTGGCCCCAAAGCACAGAGGAAAAGGCCAAACCTTGCTGCAAGTGATGTGCAGTCTCTGCTGGAGAATGCCGAAGCCTCATCAGAATGTTATGATCAGGGCAAAGACAGAGACCTGGTCACAGAAGACACTGGTGTAAGGTAGATAGGAAGGAGAAATTATTCTCTACTTACATTTCTTAAATATCAGCTTTATTCATTTAAAAAAAAAAAAAAAAGTGCATCTAGTGCCTCTATCAATGCTGCCACTGTCTGATTGATGAGTATGCAATGAGAAATAAGCTGAATTTGGCTGGATTTTAAGCTGTTTTGTCCCAGTATATTTAACTGAACTGCTGCTTCCATGGGACCCTTCTGTCTTCACTGATAATTCATTGCTTGTTGCATATCTGAAAATCTGTGAACTCAGATATTGGGTTAAATAAGGGACTGGGTCTAATCTCCTCTTTTCTCTGTAAATGGCTAACTGGCTTTAGAGAAGACAGCACTACAGCCCTGTTATTGTGGTTGTTTGATGTCTCTGGTAATCCGCTTCCAGGGATGAAGCACAAGAGGAAATATTTAAGAAAGGACAGTCAAAAAGAATTTGGGGTGAGCTGTACAAGGTAAGCAACACTTATAATTTGCAGCAGGTATTTGTCTGTCTTCTAGCCTTTTTGAAGTCCAGTGCTGCAGCACAGCATTGGAAATCTTGTGTGGCAGTACTCTGAAAAGCTCTGAAAATAGTACAGTTATAGATCTTGCCACCTTACTTAGGGAAGCTTTGGTCTGCTGAATTTGCTGTATAGTTTCTTGGAACAGAAGTGTCTGTTTGTGCAGGGACATCCTGAGTGTATAATTCTCTCCCTTCTCAGGATTGTTTTCCTGTCAGCCTAACTGAACTGTAAAGCCATACGCTCTTTTCTAACACTGGACTGGTGTTGAACCAGACCATCAACTAGAAAAGAAAGAAAATAGCTGTAGAGTAGAAGGGAGATTCATTTTCAAGTCTCTGTCTGACTGAGCTTGATTCTTGAGCTCTTGTCCCAGAGGAACAAACATCCTTAAGATATATGATTGAAAGGTGAGCTGGCACAATGAACAATTCCTGGGGCTTTACCACAAATAAACCAGCTAGATGCCCTTAAGTTTCTTTAAGGACATGTCATGTTAATAAGGTCATCTTTGGAGTGCTTTGTCCTTCAGTTCTCCATGAGTTACCACTTCTGCTAGAGGAATGGAGTCTGAGAATGAATTAGTTTGGTAAGCGCAGTTTGTTTGCTCTCAGTGACTGTTAGTTGTTAAACTGCTTGACTTCTTGTTCTGAATTTCTGAATGTAGCTTAGAACTTTCTCATTTAGGCCTAAAAATGCTGGGAATGATAGAGCAAAACAGATTTCAATAGGATTCTGCCAAAAATGCAGGAAATTACTGTGAAACAAATTCACTTGGCTTGAAGCAAGTCATGAAATGACAGCTCCCTGCTGTAGATGCTTAGTGAACTAACAGCAGGTTCCTGCTTGGTTGTGTGTTTCATACTGATCCAGCAAATACTCCTTATGTTCTGATCCTTTATGGAATGGATGGAGAACATTGTTTTTTTCTGCTAAAGCAAATAACTTCTTTGTTTGGTTGTAGTTGGTTTCCCTTCCCAAGTGCTCCTAGAAGCTGTAGTGCACAAAAGCTGCTTCACAGCTGTCCAGCCTAAATTTGGAGGGGAGTAGGGAAGAGAGGGTAGAGTTTGAGATAGTTACAGGAAAGTAACAGTTGTTCCTGAAGGATATAAAGTTTTATCCTGTAAAGATAAGAACTTAGAAAATTACTAATTTATATTTTGGCAATGTATATGACTTTCCTTCTGTGTGAGATATATATATATATATTTTAATTTTTTTTTCCTCCAGGTGATAGACTCATCAGATGTTGTTGTTCAAGTTCTTGATGCCAGAGATCCTATGGGTACTCGCTCCCCTCATGTGGAATCTTATCTGAAAAAAGAGAAACACTGGAAACATCTCATTTTTGTCCTGAACAAATGTGACCTTGTTCCTACCTGGGCTACTGTAAGCACAGCCTTGTCCCTTGAATGTTTTTTATTCCTTTCATAGCCTCTAATCCTGTTGCCAGTCCTTGTTCTAGTTTCTTAAGGGCATAATGTAACTGGGTCAGTGGGAACTCTCTGCTTGCTCTCTATAAAAGTAACAATTACCATTTAAATCAGTCCAAGTTTGGCTCAGTTGAGCAACAGTCATCAGCCACAAATTCCCTACTTCCTCTGTCTGGATTTAACTGTTCAGCTGATGTCTCCAGAGAATGCTAAATGTTAGTACATTTAAGATCCATATCCACCACAGCTGGTCTGTTTTATATTGTTAAACTAATTAGCTAGCAATGAAGGCGTTTGGGGAAATTTTCTTTTTATGAAAACAATAGCCAGTGCTTTTAGCTATTGGGTTGATAAAATGCTTCAAAGGTTCTTACAATTTTTATAGACAGTTGTGTATGTGACTCAAGTGAAAGTGCTGTGTTCTTCTCATAATCAAATTGTTTCACCACCTTTGCAGCACAGCATTCATAACTGAGCAGTGTTTTCCTCTTTAGAAGCGCTGGGTTGCTGTCCTTTCCCAGGAATACCCAACACTTGCTTTTCATGCCAGCCTCACCAACCCTTTTGGCAAAGGTGCTTTCATACAGCTTCTAAGGCAGTTTGGAAAGGTACAGAACAACTGAGGGGCTTTGTATTGTTTGGGGTTGGAAGGGGGTAGGGTTAGTATGGGATTTTTCTGTTTTAATGTGTGGGGTACAGTATGCTTTCTTTTGGTCATTCTGTCAGCAAACAAGCTTCATTCTGTGGAAATTGGAAATACTACCTCTGGACAGAGTATTCAGTTGGTACTCTTAGGTCTGATGTGAATGTATAGAAGAAGGGAATATATTTCAGGCCTGGTAATGTCCTGCACATATGCATGTTGTATTAGGGTGTTCTCCTTTTAAGTATCTTCACTTTCCTAAGAAAGTAACTGAAGACAAGAGAAAATGTCTGTCTTCAGACCACAACTGTTTGCTGTCCCCCCTCTTTGTATTTGCTTTGTTTTTCAGTCTAAAAGGTTTCTAGTTTAAGGCATTTACAAGTAAGCTTGAAGCAGCAAGAAATACGTTGGGTTCACATCTTCCTTCTGAAGTGGCAAATGTTCTCTTTCAGTGGTTGGATTTTTTAGACAGATTCTACCCTTGTATATTTCTCCTGATAGAAAAGAGCTGATCTCCGTTTTCTTTAATCTGGAGTTGCCTTTGCTTTGTTATGCAAGACCAGAAGCTGCTAAAACTGCAGTAGTAACTCTGTCATTTTCTATGAGGTATTAAAATGATGTGTCATTTCTTAACAGTTACACTCTGACAAGAAACAGATCAGTGTGGGTTTTATTGGGTACCCAAACGTTGGCAAGAGCTCAGTGATCAACACATTGCGGTCTAAGAAGGTCTGCAATGTGGCTCCCATTGCAGGTGAAACTAAGGTAGGAAGACGCTGCTGTTTTGAAGGTTATAAAAATAATATTAAAAATATGTCATTGCATGGTCAGAATCAGAATATATGTAAAATTAGCTCATTAACATTTTCAAGTCGCTGAAATTATACAGGCTGTATGACCCTGAGTCTGAGGGGTGGCTGATGAGCCAGGCTTTGTTCTGGAGTGCTGCTGCACAGAAGCATTTCTGAGTTTCTGTGCCTGCCACTCTGCCTGTTCTGCAGCGCTGTGTGATCTGAACACTCAGCTGCTCTGACTCAGTGTGTGCTAATGCCAAGTTTCTAAGATGACATCTGTATATTAAATCTGTGCATTTAAAAGCTGAACTAACAGTTGTGTGTGAGAGGAGATAACATGGGGACCACTGATATCTTTCAGGTGTGGCAGTACATTACTTTGATGAGGCGGATTTTTCTCATTGACTGCCCAGGGGTGGTGTATCCATCTGGAGACTCAGAAACAGATATTGTTCTGAAGGGAGTGGTATGTATTTATGCTGTGTGCAGGGAGAATTCTTGCTGTTTTCAGTGTGGGAGTTCACTTTCCGAAGGGTTGATGCTTTACCATTCATTTTTAGGTTCAAGTTGAAAAGATTAAGAGCCCTGAAGACCACATTAGTGCAGTGCTGGAAAGAGCCAAACCAGAGTACATCAGAAAGACATACAAAATTGATTTCTGGGAAGATACAGAAGATTTCCTTGAGAAGCTTGCTTCTAGAACTGGAAAACTACTAAAGGTTTGAGAGCATCCTCCATTTACGGGTTGGAAGAGCACGGGGGTCTGTTTCTGCACTAATGTGGGAAATATGTTTTAGTTGCAAAGAGATGATATAAAGATGATATGCCCTGCAAACAAGGACAGAAACTGTTACTGAATTCTTTCAGGGTGGTGAGCCTGATGTACAAACTGTCAGCAAGATGGTTCTCAATGACTGGCAGAGGGGCAGAATTCCGTTCTTTGTGAAGCCACCAAATGCAGAAGCAGGTTCTGAGGTGAGGATGTGAGGCTCGTGCCTCTTCTTGCATATTATTCCATTTTGCTAACGATACTCACTGGTGCTTTGCCAGAGCACCGTGTAACTTGGGCTTTTCCTGATGTGATTCAGATATAGTCATTTAAATTTGGTAGTTACATGGAGAGGAACAGGTAGCAAAGAATTCTTCCACAGAGATATCTGAGCTGTTTTGAAATCATCTGACTAGTAGAAATGTGAGTAATTACCATGTCGTTAGTTATCTTAGGCTTTGTCCAAAGAGATGTTTGGACAGGCTGTGGATAATATATCCATTATGTCCTTTCTCCTAGCCATCTGCATTGGAAGGAGCAGTGACATCAAGCCAAGCTAGTAATGAGAAGGAAATTTCTGAGTCTGTTGCATCAAGTACGGAGGCAACAGAAGAGAAGAATAACACAGACACTGAAATGAAGCAACTCATGGCAAACGTTCGGCAAAATTTTGGGAGGATTAACGTAGCACCTCAGTTCTCAGAAGAAGACCTAATTCCTGTAGATGTGCCAGGTTTTGATGAAACAGACAGTGATTGTCCTGAAGATGAGGAACAGGAAGAAGAGGAAGAGGAAAATGAGCAACATCAAGATTCAGTAGAGGAAGAATCACAGCCAACTGTACAGAGTGCCAGGGAGAGCTCAAAGGCAGTTCTTCAGGCTTTGGAGGAGAAGATTGCAAAATGCAAAAAATTTCTGGATAAGGCCAAAGCCAAGAGATTCTCAGCAATAAGGTATCTGAATCTGTTTAGTGACTCAAGCATTTTCCTGGGGGAGGGTGAGAAAGAGATTATAAGTTTCTGTTGTAGTTTCACTCCACTTATGTCCCATTGCCATGGCTTTTCTAGTTTAGCCATAAATGCTCGAGCTTTGGCTAAGCAGCAGTTTCATTTTAAGAGAATGTTCTAAGAATTCGTCTTGGCCGTAATAACCAAGTTTTCTCACTTTTGGAAAGCTGCCTGTTCAGCTATGGTTTAGAAACCTGTGGGTAGCAGTATTTCTTCCTTGCATCTTTAACTGATGTTGACCTTTCTTGAGTAATACAGAGGCCAGTGTCCTCTCTGTATATGAGTCTGTGCATTTACAAGAGTATCCCAGCTTGTATAGAGGCCCAGTTTCACCAGAGCAAATCCATCAGGTTTGTGAGGACTGAGATGTCAAGGCTTAAGTGTTAAATTTTGTACTTTGTGCAATGCACAAGTTCAGTAACTCTAGAGATGAGATTACTGGAATATTTCTTCCATGCAAAGTCTGTGGCTTTGCTGATGACAGACTGCTGGGACCTATTGGAGAATGATCACTTCTAAGAGATGGCTGCATTTTGTGTTATGACATTCTTTTATTGCCTGTTTTATCTTGTGTAGAATCCCTAAGCAGCTGAGTGAAAAAGTGTTTGCGAAATCCATGCAAAAGGCTGAGGAGACCAAAGAAAATGAAGAGAAAGGTAAAACAAAATGAGTAGTTCCTGATCTGTGTTTGGAAATCCAGTAAGAGAGAAAATAGGGATTAAAGGTTTTCATTAGCTCCTGACTGCAAGTTCTTCTTTCTCTGGGGTGTTAGTGAAACCTCTGCTTAGTGAACCCAAGGGCTGCTTCATGACCTTGCTGTGACCTTTCCATAGAACTGTAGAGTCTGTATAGTAAAACATGCCCTCTACTACTGAGTGGAGATAAAGACAAATGTTGTGCTCTCAGCAGAATGGTGCTGTGGGCGGTTTGCAGTCTCAGCAACATCCGTTCCACATGGTATAGTATTACACAGCAGGGGGTGGAAGCATTTTGTGACATTATAAAAGCACAGAGCTACTTCAAGCTATAGATTTTACTGTGGTCACTTTTGAGAGTCTGTGTCTTCAGTTTCCAAAGCAAGCTTGATTAAAGGCAAAATAATGTGGGAGAATCCTATACTGACAAGACTGATATTTTTCTAGACTTACGTAAGGCTTTAAGCAATCTGCTTACCAGAAGTGGTTTTCTGGTAAGGGATAGACATATTGTTTTGGTAAAAGCTCTTAAAATACCACCAAAGGATTGCTTTGCTGAAATGGATGGGACAGTGACCCCGGTCTTAATTCTGTGGGCACATGGGTGTTGTGGAAGATGCTGAAGTACATGATCTTTGCTGTTTGCAGGTGGCGCAGTAAAGAAAAGAAAAAGGAATATAGAAGAGGAGGATGATGAAGACCATTTGGGTAAACAGCCTTGCAAGAAGCTTACATCCAAAGAAGTAAGTGTGATCTCTTGTTGCATAACAGATGAGTGGAGTAATTGAGCTGGCTTTTTCCTGGATAGATTGCCCATTATCATTTGAGAGGTTTGAGACCAGACATTAGTAGCTGTCTAATGTGACAGCAGTGTGTTCCAGCTGGCCATACACCCATTAGAGGAACCAGCAGGTAACAATGACAGTGTTGAAAGGGAGAATCCTTTGTAGGTAACTGTTCTGCTTACCTAGTGATGCTGGTAAGAGAGCAGGGATCTAAATCTGACAGATAAGAAAACTTGGATCTAGATGGGCAAAAGTCAGGGGCTGTTCCATTCTGTCTACAGCAAGAGCTGTACGGACTATTAGGACTGTCAGAGGAAGACTGACAGTGGAAGACTGAATTCTATTCATGCATGTTTGGTCACAGTTTCTGTGACTATGCACATTAGTTTTCTCGTAATTCTTCTCCACTTTCGTAGAGATTAAACTATATCCTCTTATGTGACATTTTAAGAGCTTGAGTGGGTGGATTCTTTATAGACGTTTGTATGTTCACATCAGTAATGGTTTACATGAAATGACTTATTTCACGTAAGGTATGTGGAATGGAAAGTGAACACTGAAAGAATGCAGACAAATTCAGGCAGTGGGTACTGTGGACGTGCTAACACATTTTGTGTGTATTACAGAGGAGACGAGCTGAGAGGCAGCAGCGCTCCAAGAAAGTTGGAGTCCGGTATTATGAAACTCACAACGTGAAAAATAAGAATAAGAACAAGAAAAAAAGTGGCTTGGAGGCACAGAGATCAAAGCACAAAAAAAATAAACATAAGCAATAACTGTTTATCCTATTAAATTTTACATAAAACAGCTCTAGTATGCGGTGGCTTTTTTTAATATAAAACTTGTAGTTCCCAGTCAAAGCTGAGTTTGACTTGTCTATCTTGTTCCCAGGAGTAACATCTCGTTCTTTTTCTGCATCATCTGAAAGTTCTTTATGCAACTGGATCATGGTATTTCCACATCACCAACTAAGGCCAGTAAACACTGCATTTGCAAAAACACTTCCTGAAATGTTCTTCAGATTTTGTTCTTCTGGAAAGTGGCTTTATGGAGTTGTTTCAGTGAGAACAGTGAGTTGTTCTTCCTATTCCTGTTTGCTATTTATAACTAGCTAGTTATGCAGATATCTCAGCTGAAACTTTTGTTTGCTTTCACTGAGAAGTGCTGCTTGGAATGATATCATACATCTTTGTTTCATTAGCAGCAAGCATATAGAGAGCTTTGGTATTGCTCATCCTAGGTGACTACTACTGGTTCCCAAAAAGGATTTTAGTACATAAATAACACTGACTTGCACATATTCAGGAACTACTCTCTAACTGCCTTCTGTCCAAGAACTACCTAAAACTTAATAGTGAATGTGACACACAGTGAGTGTAGACGCTTCATCAATTGCTCCTGAATTTTGTACACTTTCAGAGGAAAAATTTTAGAGATGCTTGCATGTAAAAGCATTTATTAGTTTATTGCTTTGAAGATCATCTAGCATATTGCCAACTATCAAGGAGCTGAATGCTGTGATGGCACAGGAAGAAGGCACAGTTGTTAGTGAGGCTTTTAAATTTCAATTCTTAACGAGAAAAAGGGAGAAATAATGCAATTAGACTGCTTTCAGTTACCGGTAAGTGAAAATTCAGTATTGTTTTATGAAGACAAATCTTTGTCATTAATTGCAGACTTTGTGCTCTGACAACTCTTCTGTGCACTGCCTGAAGGCCAACAAAAAATTTACTTATTTGGTGCAATGATGCTTTCAAGTTGAGCCTGAAAAGCAAATGGGAGAATAAGTCAAATTAGATTTAATCTAGAAAATAAAAACTGTGTGGCTGAGAGGTGATAAATTGTCTGTTAGATATTCAAAGAGAGGAGCTGAGCGATACTGTGGTACTTCAAGAGGAACAGAGCAGGGGTTTTTCCCTAGCTACTCCATTCCTCACTACATGTTTTATAAATTAGCTTTTCATTCTTGGCATACACATTTGTTGCTTTCTGAGAAGAAAAGAGCTGGCCTTGGCTCCATACAATGAAAGACTCATTTTATAATGTAAAGCATTGAGGAGGAAATTAAATAAAAGCTGTTGAAACAGTGGTCTGAATTCTCTGATTTCAGGCTGGACTATGTTAGCTAAATTAAATATTTGGCTCTCTAGGGTTTGGAACACAAACTGACTTGAGGACAGAAGTAGCTGGGAACAGCAAGTTTTTCAGTTCCTGAGACAACTTGACGCCCAGTGAAGAGATTGATCAGAGAGCTTAAGAAGCATGTAGTGTGTGAGGCTTCCAGGACTTTCAGATTGCTCTCTTCCTAAAGCTGCCATAAAAATAAACTACCACAGTGATATGTGCACAGCTGTTAAAATACTTCAAGGAGGAAACATGGGTTCAGCCTTGCACATATTTGCTCCAACAGTTACTGTATTTTGTGCCCTAAAACACTTCAAGATGGTCCGAGGATGTTAATGGTTTAGAAAGGAAAAACTGTAGCAATACTGAAGATCAGGAGGGCAGCTTGGTGTAAAGGAAGTATTTCAGCTCTAGCCAGAAACATTCATGGTTATGATTACCTTTTTTTTTTCCCTTCTGAAAGCAAAGTAATTGACAGAAGCTCTGTTTTCATTAAAGTAACATACACAGAATTACTCCTTCAGATACAAAACAATTTCAGTAATCCAATCAAGATCATCATGGGACAAAAAGTGTTTCCCATGAGACCATCTTAGCAAACAACAAGTGAATAGGAAGAATGCTTCTACCTACACTACAGTAATTACACTTCAAATGTGATGTAACAGATTTCTGGAGGCTAGAGATGTCAGTGACATGTGCTCATCCTTCCTAGGTTTTGCTGCAGTCCATAGTTCTATTATGTCAGATAGAAATGGGAAGTTCCAGGAACATGTGATGGCATTCCCACTGTGCTACAAGTCTGCTGCTAAATAATTGTATTAAGAAAGCATAAAGAAAAGAAAAGAAAGCTATCTTCCCACTTCATTGAGAATTTAAAGAAAGTGTTTCATTAATACAAATGCATCGTAAATTTAACTACTACTGAACTGAAAGGATAAAATTAGTTCCTTTTACATCTTTAATTGCAAAATGCTTGGGTTTACCATCACTAATTAGAACTGCATTTCTTTACTAACCTTCAGCTGTTGATTGGTTCGCTTCAGGAATTGGACCTCTTCAGTGTGTTTCTTTTCCTCTATCTGTCGCCTTTCAATCTCACGTTTCTCAATAGCTTCACATTTTGCTTTCTCTTCGCTCACCAGTCTTTCCAGCTCACGCTTCTCCTCTTCTAGCTCTTCAATCTCGGAAAATAATACAGATCTCTCATGTTTTGTTTGTTATTAATCAACCTTCTATTATAGTGATAGATATAGTGAATGTTGCACAGTCTTTAAAATGCTACAGGAATAGTAGCAGATCATTTATGAAATGCAGTTCAGCATTTAAGACAAGTATTTGGATACACTTTACTGCCATCCAGTGGAAGCAGAAATAATCGATTTTGATACAAAACCAATAAGCCCGTAGCATAGCTTTCTTCATGCGATACAGCATAAGGTTAACAGACCACAGCTTACTCTTTTTTCCATGTCAGATTTGCCTTGCTCTGCTTGTAGTGCCTTCCGCATGCCAAATGCAATGCTGCTCTCATACAACGTCTGGTAAGCAGCAATTGTCATTTGGATCTCATCCCTGACTCGAAGCAGCAGCAGTCCTCGCTCTGCACAGTTAATTGTGGTTTCACGGATCAGCTCATCTTTAAAGAAAAGGTACAGTGACAGAGTTACACTGAGTTGGGAATGCTGGATGTGCACAGTGTCCAAGGCTAGTTGTCTTTTACCTGTTCTCTGCACCACAAAAGCAGCACTGATTTAACTGGAGACATCATAATTTTGTTTACTGTATTACAGCTGCAGCATCAAATGCTACCTAACAAACCCACAGGCATGAAGTAGAGGGATGGTACAAGAACAGGTAAGAACACATAACAGCAAAACCCTTCAAACCTGTAATGGTTTTATGCAGCTTTCAGCACTCCAGCAGAGCTCTGCTTAACCAAATAGCCATCTCTTGCAGGCAGAAGACCAGTAATATCATCCATGTAGGAATGGCAAAGGGTTTTAACTTAACTACTGCAGTTATGTATAACTAACACAATGCTAAGCCCTTGATATATAAAAACATATGTGTAAAATGCCCGTTCCAGGCTGTTATTTTAAGGCAGCTGTGTGGATGCCAGGAGCACTGACCGAAGCACTGTGAGTACAGCTCCCTTCTCACGGGGCAGATGCCGGTTTCTCTCGCCTGCCGCTGTTGCAGCTTCAGGTCCAGCTGTTCCTGCAGCTGCACGACGTCCAGCCGGGTGCTGGGAGCGCTGGAAACCTCCTGCACCCACAGCCGGTTGTCCTCCTCCCACGTCCTGCACAGAAAAGCAGCGGGGTTCAGCGGGGCGGCGCCGAGGCAAGGCTCGGCGGATCCCCAACCGGCTCACCGCGGCGGTAGGATGGCGTTCAGGATCTCCTGCGGTTCCTTCGCTGACGCGGCGGCGGCGGCCGTGCGAGGCCGGGACGAAGGGACGGGACCCGGCGGCGGGGTGGGCTGCGGGACGGCCTTCAGCGGGAGGGCCTGAGGGGAGAGAGCGGTGGGTGCGGGCCGGGCTCAGCACAGGCCGCTCCTCCCCGCCCCACTCACCTCTGGGGAGCGCTTCTCCGTGCGGCGGCTGACGAGCATCGGCGGGTTGTAGCGCAGCAGCGAGTCCGGAGGCGGGATCATGGCGGCGGCCGTCTCTATGGTAACCGCGCCGCTCGTTTTTTTTAAAGGCGCATGCGCGGAGCGGAAGGAGGCGTGTCTGCGCAGGCGCGTTGGGCAGCGGCTCTGTGGAAAGAACTTCCGGGTGTCTGCGCGCGGGCCGGAAGCGGCGCGTACTTCCGTTCGTGGCGGCTGGCGGCACCATGGAGGCCGCAGCCGAGCGGCGACGGGAGCGGCGGCGGTGGGAGGTGGCGGTGAAGGCCGAGAAGCGGAGCCCGCGGCGTTCCGGTTCCCGTTCGGCGCGTGGCAGCCAATCACCGCCGGCCGAGGAGCGGCGGGGCAGCCGCGGCAGGAGCAGCAGGTAGGAGGCCTCCTGGCGGCCCCGCGCCGCGGCTCGCAGCCCGCAGCCCGCAGGCCTCGCTTACTTTCCTGTCCTTGTCTTAAAGATCGCCCAAAAGGAAGAGCAAATCCGGCCGGAGGAGCAAATCTCCGCGCGGCAGACGGAGCCGGAGCCCGCATCACGGCGCTGTGAGGGTAAAGCAGGTAAATGGCGTTGGGAGCGGCGAGGCCCGGCTCTGTGAGCTGCCCGCCGCTCAGTTCTGCACACAGAGGGGCAGCGGGGCCCGGGGCGCGTCCTGCTGCGGCTGTGAGATGTCTGCAGAGGTACGGAACCTGCTTCTGGTTTGGAAGCCCTCTGATCCTTGTAGAACGCCTCTTTAGGAAGAGAGTCTCATAAATGTGATATCTCGTTGCTCCCTGCTTCATAAAGAACGGAGTATTTGTACTTTTTAGTGAGCCTAGCCTCTGTCACTTCTGCAGGCTGACCCTGAATGCTTCCGTTTTCCTGATGTAGATGATGCATTGCTCTCCCTCAGTCTTGCATTATTCAGCCCAAGTTGTGGGAATTCAGTTTGCAAGGAAATAACTTTATCTAGATATACACCCCGTGTATTCCAGTCTGTTTTTCATGTGTTGATGAGTGATTTCTTTTGAAACTGAATTTGCTGTTCTTTCATTCTTATTCTAGTTCCATTGCTATAAGTTTTTTTTATTTTTTTTTCTCAGGAACGAGATGATCATCCTCGTAGAGGAAACGAGGAGCGAAAGCAGAGACACACATCAGAGCAGGAACACAGGAGAGACAGAAGCGGTGAGAGAGACAGGCACAGAGATCACTCAGACAGGAGGAAAAATCCAAGTGAAAGGCCTGGAGGTCGAGGCCACGAGCGAGAGAGAGATGTTCAGAACATCCGTGAGCAGCAAGCAGAGAGGGAGTTCTATAATGAGAAAAGACGAGAGCATCGACAGAATAACGAGGGGAGCGGTCTTGACCAGAATCCAGAACACAGGCAATCTGATAATAAACCAAAAGATAAAGCTGTAAACAAAGAAAAACCAAGCTTTGAACTGTCTGGTGCCCTTCTGGAGGATACCAACACTTTCCGAGGCGTTGTGATCAAGTACAGCGAGCCCCCAGAAGCTCGGATTCCAAAGAAACGATGGCGCCTCTATCCTTTCAAAAATGATGAGTTCCTGCCAGTCATGTACATTCACAGGCAGAGTGCTTATCTGCTGGGCAGGCACCGCAGGATAGCAGATATCCCCATCGACCATCCCTCCTGCTCCAAGCAGCATGCTGTGTTCCAGTACCGGTCAGTATTGCTCTGTATCCATCTGGTAGATGGGGGTTATTTGGTCACTTGTGTGCAAGAAAATCAAACAAACTGGACATGCACAGATTAGAAAGTGCATGTTTGCTCAAAGTTATTTAGATAGATGGAAATGAGGTATGACTGTAACGTATTAGCATAGCAATAATCAAAAAATATCTGTAATTCCTTTCGTTTAACCACAAGCAGCCTTTTAGTAAGACAGATAGTCTTTAGTAAGACACAGCAGGATTAAATACAGAACTGTGTGTATGCCTGAATTGGAGTAATTAGCAGGTGGAATTGGCAGTAAAAAAAACATTTCAAGGAGAGCTTTTCATTTGGTCTTTCACAACAAAGACTGATGATCTCCTTTGGAAACAGCAGGGGTTGCGTGCTCCTGGAGGCAGAGTTGCTCTCTTAAGGAGCAGCCATCTGTTCTGTTTCAGGAATTACTGTGTTATATCATAATAAGTCTTAGGGGTGAAGCAGTCTGTCAGAATCTGAGATTTTCCGTGTCCCGCTCTCATTACTCTCATTGTACTTGCTCAGATCTTTGAAGTACGGTTAAGTATTCACTGCAGTGGGGCTGATGTGTTGAAAAATCTATGTGTTATGATCAGAATGATGTGGTTTTTTTGTTTTGCCAGGCTTGTGGAGCACACTCGTGCTGACGGCACAGTTGGCCGCAGAGTAAAGCCGTATATAATTGATCTTGGCTCTGGCAATGGTACTTTTCTAAACAACCAGAGGATTGAGCCTCAGCGTTACTACGAACTGAAAGAAAAGGATGTACTGAAATTTGGATTCAGCAGCAGGGAGTATGTTCTTCTCCATGAATCTTCAGATAAATCTGAGGCCAATGCAAAGGACGATGATGAAGAGGAGGAGAAGGAGGAAGAGTCTGACAGTTAACAGATAAGAAGGAAATTGGGGATGGGGTGCAGGGGAGAGAAATCTTTTTCAATAAAACATGCATTGGGATGTAAACGTTGGAGCATCAAAGCACTGATGCTTCTTACTGCCTTAAAGTCCTTCTTCTGTTGCTGAATGGTTCTCATGATTTATTTCGGGGGACTCCATTGAATATTTGTCTCTGATAGGTCTGCGTATCAGGAAATCCACCTTATTTTTCCCACCCTGACAAGCAAAAAAGAGCACCTGGATGTGAATGTTCTGATGCTGGAAACATTCAGCAAATGTTCAAAGACTTTCTTCTTCTAGAAAAAATGATGTAGAACGCAGCAAGCGTATTTAAAAATATTTTTATTAACTGTTTTGTCATAACCCTTTGAAAATGCTACTGAACTGAGATCTTAGTTAAAATGTAACCTGATGCATTTTTTGTAACCTGTCTTGTTTGGTAGAGTTTGCCAAATTCCTTGGCCATTTAGGAGTTCTAGACAGGAGAATTTACCTAAAGAGAAATACTGCAAAGCCCCCTAGGTATTTGTGTGTCCTGGGTAGTTGGTTTGCACTGTGAGCACTCTGAGCAATGGGCATTTCACCAGGATGTGCTGTTCCAAGGTAAGTCAAAATAAAAGGAACTGCTTCCTGGGGTGTTAGGCTGCAATAATATGGCTTCGGAGGGCTGAGGTCTACATCAGTGCATGTCCAGTATGCATTGCAGCAAAGAATACAGCAGCTGTTACTGGATGTTGAGTTTCTCCTCCTAAAGCTCAGGCCTTTGTTTCTGTCAGCTCCATGAGAAACTTAAATGTTTTTGTTTGTAATTGTACTTGTTATGTGGTGGCATGTTTTTTACTGGTTTGCACTATTTAAGTTTTCTTTATATTAAAAAAAAAAAAATAAAAAATTAAACTATCATTGGTTTATAACATTCTCCCCCACTGGAAAAGAAACCAACGCTTCAGGAAGAGGAAAAAAACCAATTCCACTACTGAAAGAAAATGCATCTTGCCTGTTTGTGGATGTCTTCTTCCTACTGTTGATAAAAGAATCGTAAGACTTTCTACACTGTTGACTGCTTAGCCTGGATGTTTGTTCCGTGGCCACACACACTGTTCATACATGCTGTGTACATACACTGTGTATACAAACGTGGCATACTGGAACATTTATTGTGTAAATATGGGGTGCTGATGTAGGTTTTCAAATAGTAAGGAGAATGGATATCGACTAGAAGGATCTTCTTTATATATACACACTCTATAGGTTTTTAAATAAAGAATTTGTAAATTTAGCCCTATTTACTTTTAGTTGTAATGTTTTTCTAATGTCCTGTTTTCCCCCTTTGTATTCTCTGAAATAGATGCACTCATTTGGTTTGAAAGGGAAAGGTGGGAGAGATGCTCACCCTGGTTGCAGTTGTTAGAGGTTTAACAGTTGTAATAGAACTCACAAATCGTTGTAACTCATGCAGATGTTTGTTACTGGAGTATTAATTATCCTTCAGCAGGACAGGATGGACTCAGTGACACCTGGTGTGGTGGTATGGCTGCAGCTGCCTCGCTGGCATACAATGCAGTGCTGTGAGTGCATCTCTTCCAGGTTGGGCTGTGTGTGTCCCTGTGAAGGAAACACCAAAGTGACCCTGGCAGTCCTCAGCTATGGGGGAATGCTGGGGGTTGCTGTGCTGGTATAGCAGCACAACCATGCTCTTCTTTTGCTGTACCACTGCTGATGATTTGCCTGGCAGGGGAGCATAGGCTGCTGATGGTGGGACTGCACTGCACCGAGTGGTGACAAAACCAACTGATCTCAGGTCAGGTCTCATCATTTATTGCCTTCATTTTGGTGCAAGTTTTCCTTATTCAGGTTCTGAAGCTGGGTGGGTTCTCTGGAACAGTGGAGAGAACTGAGAGCCCTGCCTTTGGGCTGCTAGTGGGCAGAGGGGTTCGGCCTTGGGTTTGGGGTTGGTCTTGTTGTGCTTGAAGCAGCCTCCATCCGAATGCTGCTTCAAGCACAGCCCTGAATTGAGTGCACCCTCAGCAAGTTTGCTGATGACACCAAACTGAGTGGTGCAGTTGGTGGGAGGAAGGGATGCCATTCAGAGGGACATCAGCAGGCTTGAAAGGTGGGCCTGGGTGAACATAATGAGGTTCAACACAGCAAATTGTGAGGTTTGGCACTTGGGCCGGAGGAATCCCAGGCATTTATACAGACTGGAAGTAGCAGTCCTTGAGAGCAGCCCTGCAGAGACAGACCTGGGGGTTCTGATGGATGAAAAGCTGGACATGAGCCAGCAGTGTGCTCCTGCAGCATGGAAAGCAAATGGGATCCTGGGCTCCATCAGAAGAGGGGTGGCCAGCAGGGACAGGGAGGTGATTGGGTGATTGTCCCCCTCTGCTCTGCTCTTGTGAGGCCCCATCTGCAGCACTGTGTCCAGGTCTGGAGCCCCCAGTACAAGAAAGACAGGGAGCTGTTGGAGAGGGTCCAGAGGAGCCACAAAGGTGATCAGGGGACTGGAGCACCTCCATTATGAAGACAGGCTGAGGGAGCTGGGCTTGTTCAGCCTGGAGAAGAGAAGGCTGTGGGGTGACCTCATTGCAGTACCTAAAGGGAGCCTACAAACAGGAGGGGAATCAACTCTTTGAAAGGGTTGATAACTGCAGGATGAGGGGAAATGGTTTGAAGTTGAGTGAGGGCAGACTGAGGTTGGATGTCAGGGGGAAGTTCTTTGCTATGAGTGGTGAGGTGCTGGAACAGCTGCCCAGAGTCCTGTGGATGCCCCGTCCATCCCTGGAGGTGTTCAAGGCCAGGTTGGATGGGGAGCCTGGGCAGCCTGGGCTGGTGTGAAATGTGGAGGTTGGTGGCCCTGCGTGTGGCGGGGGGTTGGAGCTTCGCGATCCTTGAGGTCCGTTCCAACCCCGCAGGCCTTCAGCCCCGCTCTCTGCTCCCGTCTCCCCATCGGGGCGGTGCGGAGCTCAGCGCTGCCCCCCGCCGGCTCCTCCCCTCACCCCGCCCGCTCAGCGCAGGCCGCAGCCGCCATGGCCGCGCTGCACGCCAAGGCCGGCGGACCTCCGCAGATCCCCGACACCCGGCGGGAGCTGGCCGAGCTGGTGAAGCGCAAACAGGAGCTGGCGGTGAGTTGTGCGCCGGGACGGGGCGGGGAGGCGGCGGGGCGGACGGGCGGTGAACGGCGGTGAACGAACGGCGGTTGCGGCGGGGCCCGGCCCGCTCCGCGCTCAGCGCTTTGCCCGGCAGGAGACGCTGGCCAACCTGGAGCGGCAGATCTACGCCTTCGAAGGCAGCTACCTGGAGGACACGCAGATGTACGGCAACATCATCCGCGGGTGGGACCGTTACCTCACCAACCAGAAGTACGGACCAACCCCCCACCCCATACACACACACACTCCCCTTTCCTTCCCCAGCCACCCCCCCCAGCCCCCCTCTGGTCCTCCATCCATCCATCCATCTGTCCATCTGTCCACCTACCCATCTGTCCATCCATCCACCCATCTGTCCATCTGTCCATCCGTCCATCCACCCGTCCACTCATCCGTCCATCCACCCATCCATCCGTCCATCCACCCATCCATCCATCCGTCCACCCACCTGTCCATCCATTCACCCATCTGTCCATCTGTCCATCCGTCCATCCACCCATCCATCTGTCCATCCATCCACCCATCCATCTGTCCGTCCACCCACCTGTCCATCCATTCACCCATCTGTCCATCTGTCCATCCACCCATCCACCTGTCCATCCATCCACCCATCCACCCATCCATCCGTCCATCCATCCTCTTCTCTCCTTTGCAGGAACTCCAACAGCAAAAACGACCGCAGGAATCGCAAGTTTAAAGAGGCTGAGCGGCTCTTCAGCAAATCCTCGGTCACTTCTGCTGCGGTGAGTGCTGCAGGGACACCCCCCCCCCCCCCCCCCCCCCCCCAAACACAACCCCCAGTGACCCCGCACATATCGACGACTTCCAACCCCCTGCTCACTGTGCTCCTTTTCAACCATTCTGCGGTTCTATGACACCCCCACGGGGCTGAGTTCCCATAGGTGTCTGTTAAGCAACATCCCTGCTGTCATTAACACCCGTTTTGTCTTTCCAGGCCGTCAGTGCGTTAGCTGGAGTTCAGGATCAGCTCATTGAGAAGCGTGAGTCACCTTTTCCTTTCTCCCTCCATTGGCAGAATTGGGAAGGATTAAACTTCTCCTCACAGCTCGGCCCCATCTTTGCTTCGCTGGGCTCTGCTATGAATGGAGAAACCAGGACTGAAGTGATGCATTTTGGTGCCCGTGTCTCTCCATCAGTTGCATGTGGCTATGGGAGAAGATGAGAGCTCCACTTCTGGAGGCTGCTTTCCGTTGTGGGCGCTCAGCTTTTAGACCTTTCCTTCTGCTGTCACCATAACTTCTGAAAAGGTGGTCAGGCACTGGAATGGGCTGCCCAGGGAGTGGTGGAGTCACCGACTCTGGAGGTGTTCAAGGAACGTTTGGACGTTGTGTTGAGGGACGTGGTTTAGTGAGAGCTGTTGGTGATGGGTAGATGGTTGGACTGGGTGATGCTGTGGGTCTTTTCCAACCCTGGTGATTCTATGATTCTATAACTCTGGGTCTGCCGTGTGCTGATCAGGTGCTGCATTTCCAGTTCTTGGCACCAGGAACTTCAGTTTCTGTAGTTTTTGTAGTTCTTCTCCCTGATGCTTTGCAGGAGCAGCCTGAGATGTGAACTTTGGGGACGTAACCACTGGGCTCTTCTGCTTCTCATCCCATTCCAGGTGAGCCGGGCAGCGGGACGGAAAGTGACACTTCTCCAGACTTCCACAATCAGGAGAACGAACCCAGCCAGGAGGATGCAGAGGAGCTGGATGGATCTGTGCAGGGGGTGAAACCCCAAAAAGCTGCTTCCTCCACTTCTGGAAGCCACCACAGCAGCCACAAAAAACGGAAGAACAAAAATCGGCACAGGTTAGTGGCACCAGCAGCCTTCTAGTAGTGCACTGGGAATGGTTGGCTCTTGCTGAATGGACTTAATTATGTGAAGGGAGCTAGTAAGTTGTGAGCATAACAAACTGTTCAGGTCATTTGGTTATATCAGTTGCTTTGAAGTTGTGTGCAGCCTGTGCTCCTGCTGCGCTCGTTGTGTCAGGGAGGGGAAGGCATGCTGAGGCAGCTCAACAGGCAGTCAGCACAGGGTACTCACAGCTCAGGCACAGTGGTGTTTTTGACCAGGCCTTCTCGGTTCTTTTCTTTTTCAAGCAGAATAAAGCTGTCTTCCCTGCAGTAGAGGAAGATTACAGTCCTGGTTTCCTGTGATTGTTCCTTGGTTTCTACAGAGCCAAGGAAAATAGGAATGTCACTGCTTTCTCTGGAGAAGGAGGATGGAAAACAACTTAGAGTGTTTTGGGGGCTGCTGACTCTCAGTATCTTGACTACATTTTCTACTCCAAACCTTTTCTGTTGTCATGTCCCAGAGTCGTTTGATTTCAGCATGTACAAGTTGCTTTATCCCACAGACCACTAGTTTTTGTTATTAAACTAGCCTGAAATTCACATGAAACAGCTCTCCTGAACTCTTTATGATTGAATTTAGGTGACCACTTCTACCCCTTAAGGCGTGCCTTCAAGGCAAGATGCAGCACAGTGGACTTACGGCTCAGAAATTGGGAATCATTGAATTCCAGTGCTGCTTTCCCTGGGTCAGTGTAACCTGCACAGTAGGTTATTGTTACTGAGCTCATTGGCTTTGGGTATTGGATATTCCTCTTTGAGGAGCCATCCCATACAATTGCAAATGTTTTAAATAATAGTGATAGATCTCACAGAGACTGCTGGGAAAAGGTTGGTCTGAGAGACACCGAGGTAGGTACAGTGCCTGAAAACTAATTAACTACTACTTCTTATTAGTTAGGTTTTCTGTCATTAGCATTTTTAATTGTTAGGTCAGGATTTTCTTCCCGCAGCAGCCTTAATCAGGCACACATCCCAAAGTATTGGATGTCCTTTTTGGTTCCTCCTGAGCTAGGAACCAGCAGCAGTTCAGAAGTGTTTTTTAGCCCACAGATAGTTGGGAGGAAGGCTAGAAGTAACAGAGTACATCTGTAAACCACTCCAGAGAAACAATCTGTACAACTGAAGTACAGCATAAGAACATTGCTATTTGAACCAGATTACAAAGCACTGCTGAACACTTACGTGGAGCACAAAGCAATCTGCTGCAGTACAGTGGGGTCCAGTGCAAATGCCATAAATAATAGAAACTCTTTTGCTCCGTTACGTAACCCAAACTGTAGTGACAAGAGTTAGAAAGAAACTGCCCTACTGAAAGCTTGTGTTGCTTTGGGCTTTCTTCTGCATTCCTTCCTGTGAAGCAGCTGGTACTGTTGGAGACAGAATATTGGACATGAGGAGCCCTGGTCTGATCTGGTATGGCAATTCTTATCATCCTAAGAGATGCATCTAAAGTACAGAAAGGATTTTGCAGTTATTCTGTAATGCTTAACATGGCCAGGTAGTGGAAAGTAATTAAATTTGTCTGTAATGCAAACTGTTAGAAGTTGTGATTGCTGCTAACGACTGTCCTCTAAATTTCAGCAGAAGAGCCCAAATGATCTCCAAGTATATCTAGGTTTGAACCAAACAAAAGCCAGTCCCAATCCTTTTAATGGCACAGCTCATTCAGAAGCTCTTCCATTTCCAGCACGCATTTGAGTTCTGCTCACCTGTTCCTGAAGGACTGGGAGGTGCTGGGAATGGGCGCTCTGAAGTTGCACTGACTCCACACAGCTCCAGTTTTTCTCACTCTTGTGCCACCAGTGGCAGTGAGGAGAGTTGGATTCAGATTGAGCAGAGCTTGTGTGAATAGCTGGTTTAATTTCTAACAATTAAAGCAGGAGATCATGTGGCAGTGTTTTATTGAAGCCATCCTCTGTTCCCTCAGACCATAGAAGGCCCAGATGATGATTGTGT